GGAACAAACAGCGGCCACCCGTCCCGGCTCCACACGGGCACAGCGGCGGGCGGCACCGAGAGCCCTCTGCACACAGGCCCGGCAGAACGGTCGGTGCACAGCCTGCCGATGCCCAGTCTGACATGAACACGCCTGCCCAGAAGCAGCTAGTAAACCGTGTGTCCGCAGGCTGCCCAGTGGCGCAGGGGGCAGCCCACTGCCTGCAGCGTGGCCAGCCACACGGCTGACGGGCTGATGCCCAGTCGGCCTGAGAACGAACAGGTGTGTGGGCGCCCAGGACCCCAAGCTGCAGGGCTGACGAGGCCTGTGGAGGAGGCTTCTCTAGCTCATGTACACACACGTACTGTCGTGAATGAAATAAACTGAAACGTGAAGAACACCCAGTGATCCGAGTCATCGACTTTATAACTCACTGATGTCCAGACTAATTCAGAAAAGCTCAGTCGTCAGAGATCCTGCCCGAGACCACAGCGAGCAGGGACACCAGAGCCCGCTGGCCACCCAGGGGTCCAGTATAGAGGATGTAGGAGGTCACACTCCTTCCTGCCTCGCCCCCAGTCCTGCACAGCTGCTTCTGCATCACCCACTTCCCTCCCTCAGCCTGGCAGGATGCACCAGCCCCTTCCCGGTCTCACGGACCTTTACCCAAAGGCCACTGGAGTCTGACTGTGACCTCAGGGGAGTGGACAGAGCAGAGCGGGTTCCCCGCAGATGGCCTCGGGGCTGAGACAGACAGTCACGCTCAAGAGCTCTCCCTAACTCATTCCTGAACACACTGGAAAGCACCTGATGGGAACCCTGGGCCCAACAGCCCAGGCTCCCGCACGTCTAGGACACAGGCCGGGGCTGCAGGAGGCAGCCCAGATTAAGTGGTTAGCACTCACTCCCACAGAGCAGACACCTGCCGCAGAGCCTATGTGTACACGGCACGTAAGGGCCTGCAGGCCACGCTACAGCTTCCGGTTGGGCCGTGTCAAACGCGTCGGCCCTGGGTGTAATTATGTTGCCAGGATGGAGGAGCACCCCAAAGCCTCAGGGTGTGTATGGGAAGGCACCCCAAGAGAAGAGACCAAGGTAACCAAGAATTAAGTCCAAACAGATCTGTGTGTGTCCACATCGCAAATGACAGCCTGCACTTAAGAAATTGGTCTTACTTTGCTTTTCAGTGACTGGACATGTTGGGTTTTACGCATACGAACAGTCAGCTGATACAGGAAGGGGCCTTCAACAGCAACGTGGAAATGCTTATCATGAAAACTGTGTGGATTTCTACATCTTCTGCACTGAACTTAACTCACACTTTAATTTTCATGTGAGCTTTCTGAAGTCCCCTCGTATATATACACTGGGAAGTAGATACAAAATTCAGTATTTATAAAATTATTTTAGACGTCTAAGTTTACTTAAATTTCAAAAAAAAAAAAAAAAGCGAGCATATTCTAACACATGGGGAAAAACTAGCCCTTTAAAAGGTGCCTAATTAATAACGTGGGAATAGTCAGAGTCCCACTGACAACTTCCTAATCTAAACACTGAAATTCTGAGAGCCACTTGGGGATGGCGTCGACAGCTGCCTGGGGACAGGATGCATGGCCAGCACGGGGCCCTCTCTGGGATGTTCCGGGGCAGTGGTCTCGCACGGGGCACTGAGGTGACCTGCAGCCAGCAGACAACGTGGCCCTTGTCAGGCCATCTCAGTTCTTCTGAAGCCCAAGTCTCCCCGTTGCTAAAGTACCATGTGGGACCTCTACCCGGCAGGGTGAGAGTGGCTCTCACAGAACGACAGAAACACCACCAAACCCTCCGAAAACGCGGACGCCTCCTCTAACGAGGCAGAAATGGCTAGCCTGCCAAAGACCCTGAAACACGCTTCTGCTTCAAAGTGGGGCCTGTCACCAGGCCACCAGCGGGCCACGTACCTGATTGTTGGTCGTCATGATCAGCGTTCTGGAAGTGGAGGGCTGGGGTTTGCCACTGGGAACCGGCAAGGCGGTGGGCAGGCTGGCCATCAGGGGGGCCGGGGCCTGCAGACTGAACTGGTAGACGCGGGGTGCCGTGCAGGGCGGCGTATCGGAATCCTGCGGCGGGCACGGGAGAAGGCAAGCAGAGCTGCACCACCGTGCACAGCACCAGCCCTCCGGCACGAGCGGTGCCTGCTCTGGCTCACCGGGAGGAGTCACCAGAGCGGCCGCCAGACGACAGGCCGCCAACAGGGAATGTTACCGGGAACACAGAAGGACCCCTGGACTGAGTACCCACCTCCTCGCTGCTACATGGGTACAGACTGGCACAACATGGCCCAAACCGAGGGGCGGGCTGCTGTGGACATCCGCCAGGGACACACGGCCCCTGACAGACACCAGGGGACAACGGCGGGCACACTTACTATGTCACTTCCAGAAAGTGAGGACACGGAAGAAGCAGATGAGCCTGAGGAGAGGAGCTGGGCGCTGGGCAGAGAGAGCATCAGCCGCTGGCTGCAGGGCAGCTGGGGCTCTCG